ACACACACACACACACACAGACAACCTCTCGACAATGTGCATTTTTGCTGGCTGTTGCAGCGCTGCACAGCAAGAACGCATAAAAAGCGACAATTTGCTAAAACTTATTTTTGATAAGTCGAGATTCGAGAATCTCACAAGCTTTAGCTCACTGAATGAAAAATCTCTTAGCAGATGATTTCTTGATGCGCTTGTTAAAATGATAAAAAGCCTGATTTGAAGTTAGAACGGGTCAAGGAGCAGCAGGAAATCGAAATTCGCGACTTCCGTGAGCAAATCGAGCAGCTCACTACAGCAAACAGCACTTTGAGTGCTGCGACCCAGAAACTGGAAGGAGAAGTTGAAACTGCACGGGTTCGTTAGATCTTTCAAACATTACTTTTTTCATGTGCAGAGAATGACACTGGGCAGTAAAAATGTGTTTACTCAGTGCAAAAGCAGGTAAGAGACTTTTTTCGGAAAAGGCGGAGGAAGATTGAAGGGCGAAAAATGCGTAGATCTGAATAATCTGCGCATTTTTCGTAGATTATCCAAAAGAATCAGGAAAGTTGTGAAATAGAAACAGTGGGCAAAATTCTCCGAGGTCACGAATCTAAAGTTAGTTTGGATTCCCCTTTGTCTGCTCCCTTGATGACCTGAAGTCCAAATTTAACATAGTTCTATAATTCTAGGAAAAATCATCGTGACGAGTTAAAGGGAACTCCCGTACATTTTGTTACATTCAGTCACCTGCAGCATCTTAAACCAGTAATGTGCATCACTGCTTGACTGCCTGGTGCTTGCAGCTATTTTTGAGGACATTTTTATAGACATTCAAACAGTATCAATTTTGGATCAACGCCCAACAAATTCACAACAGTAATAAGCTTTTGCCACGCTGATGAACGGCACAGTGAAGGTACAGTGAAATCCCCTGCCTTTGCTTTGCTGACGGAGTTTGTACTTCCAGAATGAAATGGAGCAGACAGTTCGTGAACTCAAAGCAGCTGACGAGGTGAATAAGAAGGCTTGCGCAGATGCATCGCGGCTTGCGGAGGAGCTACGGCAGGAGCGTGAGCATGAGCAGTACCTCCAACGCCGTCACAAAGACCTCGAATTTAACTTGAAAGTCGTCCAAGCTAAACTTGAAGAGGCGGAAGCCACTGTCCGTAAAGGTGAACTGTTTAAGGCTCGGCTTGTTTCTTTTTTTTT